TTGGTTGTAGTTGTTTCGTATAAAAATTACTTTTTTCGCACCAGGGGAACAAAAAAATGGGAGAAGAAAGAAATATTGAAGGACCAAATCAAAACGTGAATTTTTACAAAGTAGAGATTTGGGGATATGCATTTTGTATTATGCCAGCTATCTCCAGCTTACAGAACACATTGCTTATAAAATTCATTGGAAACAGTTCGGGAAGATAGATCAGTTGGGAATGAAAACTGTAGCTTCTATGTTTGAAATTTATAACCTGTCTTTGAGTGGAAAAATATCACGACCTTCTTCAATGCAAAATTCAGATGTTCAGTAAGATAAAATTAACTATTTTTATGTTACGTAGTCAAAGCAAAGTTGATATAATCAGTCATAAAAATACGTAGTTCTTCAAAATCAGTGTTTATATATTTTGAACATAACGGACATAAACGATCACTTATATAATATATAAATAACGTAGAAAACAGTACAACACAATTTTTTTCAGAACAGTTGCGCAACTTCCTGCACCAGTTTTGTTCACAGTTACAATGTAATTGCTTCAGACACACAAATTCCATCGTTGTAAACATTAAAAAGGTCATTGGTACCAAATTTATTATCAACTTTGTAATGGAAGAACTGACTGTGAGATATTATTCAATGGTTTAAAATGTAAGGTAGCAGTGAGAAATTGTAGGCAGAATTCTTTATTTGCAATTGACTTCCAAACATTTATGTATGCGGCTAACAATCCATTAACCCTAGATTACGAAGACGCCCTAATTCAAGCATTATTACAAAGGCATAGTCTGGCAGACTACATAAAGAATACTTAATTTTACAATGAAACTCTCAATTTAATGGATTGAACATGTATTATATGGAGTTACAAAATACATTTTAAACGTTTTTATATGATCACCTAAATGACTTGACTCTCACAGTAGACTTGCCACTCGTGGTGTCCACACATGTCTTTTGAGAAGCGTCCGTAGACGTATTAATAGCGTACTTTTTCTTGATCCCCCACAGGGGGGACGGGGAAAGGTGGGTGCTGTCCACGACACAGCAGTGTCGGCTGTCAACTATATCGAGGGAAAACAGCGTAATAGCGCATCTTAAACTAGATAGCAATGAAAACAATGCAAGGTTTTTAAAACTTTTGAAGAAATAAGTAATAGTTATAGAAATACTAGAGTAACAAAAAGGAACATGGTACAAACAGATCGACAGAAAGTCGATTGAAAGAAAGAGAGCAAAAGGAAGTCCACATTGAAATGGAAAAATGTGGGCATCACTGCAAACTGAGTCTTAACGTTCCGAGTGGAGGTCATTTTTTCTACCGAGCCGTGCTATGCAGGGCTGAACGAGGCCTAGGGAGCTGGAGTATTAAGAAAACGTGGGCATATAGTGCTATGTCACGCGACCTTTCTTATGATCGCCATTGTTCCATTATAACATTTGTTCCATTGATAACAAAATGTTTAGAACAAACTTAAATGCTGCAAGTCAATTGTAGATTTTGTATTCATTATTTATAATAATAGCCAAAATATTGATGAATAAATTAAGCCCTATAACATAAACAAGAACCAGCCCCGCATTTCTTAATAGTGTTACGGGGTGATTATAAATGGAAGGAGTTGTATGTGCCAAAAGCTTTAACGTATATATGCACTCGTCTTCTCGAAAGTATGAAAATACTACTTACATCTCTTTTTTCTAGATTTCAATTTTTAGTGTCAAAATGGTACTAACGTAAAAAACATGCTTCGTTCAACTGTACCGTTTGTGCTCTTAAAAGAATGCCCGTTGCTGGACACTATTATCAACCTAACTTTAAACTAATGGTGCTACAGAATGGTACAGACTTTCCCGTATTGGTTTTCTATTTTCTTTTTCCTTTCGGTTAGATATTCGAACTTGCCACATATTTTTGCCTGCTGCCATCTTTCGCTGCCCAAAGTACATTTTTTGACATTTTCTTAATTTTTCGGTTTCCTAATAGTAGAGCGGAAACATTATTTTAAGATAATTAAAGAACAGTAAAACCTCGTCCTAAATAACAATTTTCTATGAAAAATTTGGAACCGTTTTTTAAAAAAGTGGCATTTAAGCGCTACTGTAAATTTGAAATTTGAAGCTCTTTTTCACAGAAAATTTTTGACGTTTTGAAAAACTTAAGTTGAAGAAATTTAAAATACATTAACTCATAAATACGATAGTGTTTACAAATTTATGAACATGTGCAAATCAACGGCGTGAGAGATCTCTCAAAAAATTTACGTTTGTATAATTGTTTACAAAAAAAAAGACACCGGAATTCACATTACTCCATATTAAAGAGTTCAATTAGCACTATCCGTTCAAAATGTTTGCAGAAAAAATTTGGAGCCATTTTTGAGAAAATGGCGCTTGAGCGTTTCTAAAAATGCGGAAATTTGAGCTAGTTTTCATAAAAAACGGTAGAGTTTTAGGAAAACTTTATATGACATTATTTAAATCACATGTACTCATAAATACAATAATGGGAACAAATTGCCGCCAATATAAATATTAACGTCATGAGAGGCAAGTCAAAAAAATTATATTTTTGTAATTTTTGAAAAAACAACAACAAAGGAATAGAGCAATATGGCATTTATGTCATCTTATAGAGTACATTTAGCACTCTACCAAAAGTTTAAACAAAACAATATGGAGTGTTTTTAAGAAAATCTTGTTTTGTATTATTTTTAATTGCACATATTAAATGCAATATTGCGCGAAAACTATCAAAATGTTCAAAGAAATGTACATGACCTTAATGAAAGAGCTCACTATGGAGAACAAATTTTATATGAAGGAAAAATGTATATCTTCAATTTTGTAGTTGTAGGAAGACACCGATAAAACCATACTTTTCAAATTTTCGAAAATTCAGAGTTAACCGTGAAAATCGGACCTCTGCCACATTTATAAGTCAATATTACTCCTATTCTTACAAGAAATTTAAGGAAAGAATTTGGAACAGTTTTTGAGAATATTTTGAAAATGTCCGGGGACTTGATTTAAAGTACCCCACATTTTAATGACTTTTTTCAAAATCTCGAAGATTTTACTCAAACCAGATCGGCACGGGCTTCTTCAATTTAGAAAAAATTCTATGTATGGTGAAGGCGCTAGTAGTGTTCACAGACATCAGACGGAAGAACGGGCGGACGGATGGATGGACGGACGTTTTGAAGAAAAAAATAACACTTTTCAGTATCAAGGGACCCCAAAATTTGTATTACCATGGAAATCTCGAAATCGATTTTCCGCAGCATTATATAACTTGCCCTATACTATGTATATTACTCCGTACATACGTACGTATACGGGAAAGTAAAAATACGAAAAACAAAGCTCCACTCCTTGGGTTTTAAAGGGACTCGCGTAGCGCAAAGAGCAAGTCGTTCAGCATAGAATTGCAGACACTGTCTTGTGGATAGGCAAATTGCTATACGCGTACGTCAAGAGTGTTGCGTCCTCAAGCGTTCTAACCTTTAACTACTCGCCTTACTTCCTAAGAAGAGAAAATATTGTAATCGTGTGCCGGAAAATGGCGACTTTGCGACAGAAAAAACTCTTATGTCAAAGAACCTGGTAAAAATGGTTAAATCCTGATCCTATAAATAGTAAAGCACTTCCTCTAACACATTGTGTAGTCAGAATCCATGTTTTGAAGATCCTTGATACCAAAAATACGATTCACGACAATACGTTTGTTCGTCCGTCCGTCAGTTCATCTGCAGTCAAAGCTAGCGCCTAAACCATTCTCACGATTTTCACCAAAATTGATATTCCTCTATCGATTTAAAAGAAATCAAATCCCTGCGAGTTTGACACGCGTATTTTGCTTTTTGAGGATACTTTACATGATGTCTCAGCGTTCTTTTATTTTTCTCAAAAATAGCTCCAAATTTTTGGATTAAACTTTATCCTCAAACACCGTAAAGGTAGAGCTTAAAAGAATGACTCAGGCGTCGTTTTCATTAAAATTCCTAATTTTTCGAAAATTGCAAAAGTTTACAATTTTTTGGGGCTTCTTTCCTACAACTACAATATTGAAGATAGAGCCTATTTCCCGTAATGAAATCTGTTCAAAGACAAATCTTAAAATAATGTAGTCACGTACAATTTTTCGGCAATATGAATAGTTTTTTTTCGTAATTTTGCGTGAAATATATGTAAATTTTAAATAATTATTTTCTAAAAACGGCTTCACATTTTTTCTTTAAAATTTATCGTTGTATAAAAAACGGCAAAAAATTGTGCTTGCCCTATTCCGGCTAACTGTATTTTCGAAAATTTCAAGGAGTAAACATTACAAAACTATAATATTAAAATATTTTTTGTCTTAAATACTGTTCTAAAAAAATAGATCTCAAAAGGTCATATTCAATTTAAAAATAACAAATAGTGTTCGCGTAATTTCTTCTTGCTGTAAATGCAATTAATGGTAGAAAAATTTTCTCAACAACGGTTTCACTTTTTTCTTATTTTTTTTCCTCCACAGATAGAACCTGGAACGCTTACAAGAATGGCGCATGTTTCATTTTCGTTGGACTCTGAATTTCCATAAGCGCAAAATACTGAAATAATACGAGAAAGTACGTGTTGTTGAGCGCTCCTAGCATCTGATTTACGACTCTCGGGAATGGTTTGGACTTGAAAATTCACCTGGAGATAAAATATTATAAAACGAAAAGTTAATTTCGTTTATTTGAATAATTTAAACCTGTCCATTTTGTCATTTTCTATTGGATTGTACTGTTTCATTGCCTAAGAAATGAATTTTTGAACTGACTGTCAAGAACCCCGTTTGCAGTGAAGTAATTCAATGTTATTCCAAGAAATTATCAATATTATTTAAACTAATGTTCATGTTTACTTTGCAAGTTCTGCGCGTGCATACGTAACACAATGACGTAGGTAGAACAACAATTGAAACACGTTACATCCGCAAAATTTCATGTGAGGCGGCAAGCTTCAGATTACTTCAGTTCGTGTCTTGGTCTCATTCAAAATTTATAGTGATATTGTTAAAATTGTACTGCAAACTTGAAACATGGAACTTAAAAGAAAATGCATTACTGACATTGACGTCAAAAACAAGCGGGTAGTAATCAGGTAAGTGATTTCAATTTTCTCAAAAGAATTTTGTTAAACAATATCAACATTAAAAGTGAATACGGTCATGATGTATAGTTAACATTACGTATGCCTATGCCGTTACGTATGCGTATTCGTATGCCTATGCATAAAAATACTTGGTACTAAGTTTAAAATTGTTGCGAGGGTTGAATATATTCTATTATGGTATTAAATAGCAGCATTATTCCTGACGAACGTGTATTAAGAGCAAACTGTTACTCAAAGATTGAACAAATATGTTATATTGAAACGATACGCGTTACTGCATGGAAATGATAAACATTTTTACTATAAAGTAGTTTATTTTTATTTCGGTTAGATTCCTTTTTAAAATATTAAATTGTATTAGTTTTGATATGCTGATGAAACACTTGGCCTGAACAAAAGTACGTAATGTAACTCTTAAAAGTTAAAATCAAGTCTTTTGTTTTTACTAACCAAACAAATCTACAATTATCTGCAGTATTCCAGCAGTAAAAGATATCAACTTAAGATATTCAACATAAATGCATTCCAAAATTAAACAAAATTCATTTTATGAATTTTTGTCTTGTTCTAAAGAAGTCCATGCAAGTAAAATCAATGTAGTCTGTATGAAGTTGATTTTAAAATAAATCATATATTTTTGACATTGATCATATTAACATACATAGAACAAGGAAGATATTACTTATTACTAGGTCTAAATCTAAAAAATGTCATGCTTTTCCATCTAATAAGATTGCGGAATAAGAAAGAAAAAGAAAATTCTGCATTTCTGTTTAAGAATACCAATTTTCTAAGAATCATTCCAAACCAAAAGTACATATTTATTCAACAAAATTTATACTTGGAAGGAATATTACAATTAGCTTCAAATATTAGTGACTTATTAGACTACTATTATTTACTAGAAAAACAAGAGTAAAATAAATGCTGACAAAAGAAAATAATTAGAAAAGAGCCTGTGCATGAATGATCAAACAGCAATTAACTAAGTATTAGTAATAAAGTAGATTTATAATGTGTATATCTATTTGCAAAGTTCTTTGATTAATATAAACAAAATTTTATGATTTTAAATTAAAAAAATTTTATCTTGTCTGTCATTTCCATTGCCTTCCTAAATAGAAAATTTTAAAATATCATACAAGTGATCTCAATTTCAAGAATTTGATCTCTTCCAAATTGGTTCTATAAATCCACCAGTTTCCTGTCATTTGTTTTAGTAACGTGGTTAATTACAAATGCTCTCTCAAGTAGTAGAGTGTAAAATATATTGGCAACACTAATAAAATAGTATCTTACTATTAATTGATGAGATTTTCTGATTTTCAGAGCTGATTTAGACATACCAATTTTGGGAGGAAAAGTGCTAGACAATGAACAAATTGTAAATGCCTTGCACACTATCAGATATGCTTTGGATCATCAATGTCGTTCGGTTCTTCTCATTTCCCATGTTGGGGACGCTGATGGTGCAAAAGATGAAAGATTTTCTTTGAGACCTATTGCCGATGAGTTAAACAAGCTTCTTGCTCCAGAAAACCGGTGAGTTAACTATTACAGCATTCTAAAATATATTAGAACCATTGCTTTTTAGATGGTACTTATTTAAAATCCAAGTGAATATAAATATTTTTAAATTAAATTTTTCTCTAATGTTTCAATAGAAAACAAGAAGTAAGTGTAAATTAAACTGATATTAATAGTTTGAGGCAATTGCTTTATTAATAGGGTGCAAAAAGAAAAAAAAATAGGTTATGTTTCTCTCTTAAATTTTTTTAAAGCTATAGAAGAAACAATTCAAGAACCTCATATTTCAGTTTCTTCAATTTTTTGACTACATATACATTTATTAAACCGGAGAGGCCAAAAATAGCCAGATATTCCATTATCAAGAATTTTAATAAAACATGTATAGAATATAATTAATATAATAACTACAACAATTTGTTAACATCTGTGTGTCCTATTTCATTTCCATTTTGTATTTCAAGATGCTATTGATGATGCATTTAAATTCATCAAATAAGCATTGTGTAATTTATTGTGTATGTAATTAAAATTCTTGATAAAAGTATGTGTCTGTCAATATTTGCTGTATTTGCCAGCATTGTTAGCCAAATTGTGTAATTATGCTCTGTGAAGTCCCAGAAGTTAAGCAATTTGAGACACAAATTCACGGATGGGTGATGGGTTAGTAACCGGGGTTTACTAACAGTGCCAAGCCCCTGACCAAAGGGATAAAAGACAACTTCTGACTGCGATGTAATGAAATAAATGACAAATAACTTAAAGGGGGATTACTCAACTAGATTCCAACTCCCTGCTTCTGCACAATGAGAAAGTGTTTTTACGGTGCAGTTTATAAGACATTTATGTTTCAAATTTTTTAAAAGAACATCATTCAGTGGTTTAAAAACATATTTTCTTCTTAATTCAATTCTCTGGGAAAAAGAAGAAAAAGAGAAAGAAAAAGAAGATTTAAATTTGAATTGAAAAATAATTTTAAAAAGAAATCTTGAAATATTTTTGGGTAATTTCTAAGGCTGTCGCCTATGAACGTTATTCTGTAAGGAGAAAATTGAGTTATAATAATTGAATTTTTTATGAATTTTCAAAGTGGTGGCCCAAGAAAAAAAAAGATTATTACCCCAAATAATATTTTGTTAACTAAAATAGACTGATATCTAGAATAAATAATATTTGAAAATATTATTTTTGAGACAATAATCTAAGAGCATCTAGACACCAAGAAAAAACCCACATACTTGTGATGTGCTACATACTGACAACCAAGAGTCCATTCTGTGTAATCTAAACTACACAGTCCTTGTTTAAAGTAATTGAAATGCACTGAATTAACCCTCTAATTATTATTTAAATAATAATATTATGTAATGTTCAATTAATACAATTACAGTTCACTGGCTCTCGACAAAGAAAGTAATGTTTGCTCACATATGGTGGCAATGTTGAGGGTCACTCTTCAAGATATCCTTTGATATATTCTGTCTGTTATCTTGCAAGAGTTCAACTTCTTCCAGCAATAATGTCAAGGGAGGAGTCTGTGTCAACTAACAGTGGCCCATAGTGAAATTACAGGTGTCAAAGATGTCTGTTTCACCCAATTATGAACTCATTCAAAGAAGTTTGATAAGAAAAATTATTGGAGGGTTTTACGAGGTGCATTGTGTGTATTGTATTTTAAATGCTACAAGCCCCTTATTGTCCCAGCCTTGTAATTAGATCTTCCATTTTCAATATTCACATTTTCATTGCAAATGTGGCATCATTTTTGTTTGTTTGCATTCACCAAAATTCCCAAATAGTTTTATTAGATACCATTTCATCTTAGATAAAATGTGATACAAGATAATAATGTAATCAGTTATCTTTATTTCTATTACTTTGGAAAATCTTATGATATTCAATAACATTTAAATCTAATTTTTTTACAGATTGAAAATTTCCTAGAGATCCACAGTCTTGGAGAATAGTTATAAAATCTTTAGAAATAATTTTTTCTGAAAATAATTTTCTAAATTTGAATTTAGGAGTAATATGTATAATTATGTTCTGATGCAGATCATAAAAAGAATTAAATGCAAATTGTAGCCCTGTAAATTCTCTTCAGTTTCCCAAAATTGATGATTCTGAAATGATTCTTGCTCCTTTTCTATTTTATTGATCAAGAATTTTAGGATTTTTAAAATCGAAATTGTGTGATCTTCCTGTTCTATGTTTAGGAATTGGATTTTGTTTCCGAGTAACCTCTTTAATATTATTTTGATGTTCATGCATTCTTTGTCTTTTCATTTGACCTACTTTTTTTAACACTTCAATTACGATTTTCAATATAACATTTGTTTACCCCTGCGGGCAGATTTGCCAATCTTTTTCTGCTACTCCCTTTTCCAAAAAAGAATTATGATGAAAATCTATTTTTAAATTGTGAATGGTTTTTATTTAAAAAAATATTAAAGCATTAATTCAGTGCAAAACAACAATGTAGAAATCATATTTTTCATTGTGTAGAAGGACTGGATAGGGTGAGACAATTAAAAAATTCTTATTTTAGGATACAATCATAGCTCAAAACATTTTACTACAATTTGCTCAGAAGCACTTTTACAATCTCACTCGAGTATATGCTGTAAGGCAGAGAAATCAGGCAATGGGAGGAAAACAGATTCAGGAGACCAGTAGGCATCCTGATTGAAGTTCCAGTAATGTTTCATGATTGTATTGAAATTTAATTTTTTTAAGGCATTTTAATTTGGTTTGTGCTGTTAGTATTGTGTGTAATGATTTTTTCTTTTGCAGGAAAGTACATTTCTTAGGGGACTTTCATTTTCTTGACATTGATCGCAAATGTATTTGTCCTCCAAAGGGAAGTATTTTATTACTTGAAAATATACAGTTTTATATTGAAGAAATTGGATATTCTAAGGATACGAATGTTGGTATTTTATTCATAAATATTACTATGCATCTTTCTATTATAACTACTGTATTGTTAAGTGAATTTGAAACTAAAATTACCTTTTCTTTCAATAAAACAGGTCAAAGCTCCTAGAGATATGATAATGAAATTCCGTCGCATGTTAAAGAGATATGGAGATGTTTACGTAAATGATGCTTTCCGTTTCTGCTACCTTACTCATAGTTCAATGATGGGATATTTCTTTGAGGCAAGAGTGGCAGGACTTGAAATGCAAAAGGAACTTAAATATTTCCATAGAACACTAATCAACCCTAGGAGGTAATGTTTTCCACTAAGATAAAATATTGAAATATGGTATACCTTAACATGATATTGATTTCTATTTCAAAATTTTTTTTTTGCGGGAGGAAAAAAATAGCTTCAATAAAAAATTTGGAAAATCAAGATTTAAAATAAGAATTATTTTTGTAAATTAAGAATCAGAATGAAGGTTGGTTTAGTAACTAGGATAGACATGTTTATTTGATTTAAAGAAGAAAAAATAGCTAATTATTATTATTATTACTACTTAAAATATGCCACTCATTAACAAATCATTGTTCATATTACAATTTCCAACTATATTCTAACTTCTAATCTTCACAAGCTCTTTTGTTATTTCTTTTATATAGGGATTAAAGAATGAGAGCTTTTGTTTTAATTTGAAATCCCATTTCCTCAAATTTTTTGGTTTCAAAAATGAATATTCAGATTGAAAAAATAATTTATTTTTCAAGAAAATGATATTGATACAGGTAGAATTTCACATTCTTCATGTTTGTGCATAAATATTTTATGGAAAATGATTAATAAAGAAGTTAATTCTGTGTCCTTTTATAGTAAGAAAGTTATTTATGATAGAATAGAAGAGTAATATTTTTTCTTTCATATCTTTGTACCACATTTTGATTAAGTATTAAACCCCGTATTAAAGTACCTGAAAATGTATTCACAGAACTGATTCAGATTAAAAACAACACTCCTAGATAGACAGTTTATTTAGATAGTTTGATTATCCTCTTAGCAGACCGCCACTCCTTGGCTATTGCTACATTCTCTTATTCGTACACTGGCAGAGCTAATCTAGTTGTGCCATTGCTAATGGTGCAGTGAGATAGTAGGTAAAGTAACAGAGTAGTGGGAAGATCTTGAAAATGATCTTAAGTTGCAAAAATGTATCATTTCTGTTTTGAAGAAAGATCAACAAGTTGAATAAATTGAATGAGAAACTTGTGAGAAATTTTTATTTTTCTTCCTTAAATGTAATTTAGTTGTTGAATGATGATACAGCTGTAATATTTGACACTGTAAATAGAGTTCAAAATATTTTTAAAAAAAAGTTTTACTGTGGGTTTGTGGTTGCGTGTTGGTGAGCAAATTAACTGTTTATACTGTTATCAAGAAAATGCAGATTCAAAAGATATGCTTAGGAGTACACATGTTCAAGTGTTTAGTTGGCAAGTTTTTTAAGTAGAAAAGAAAGCAACAAATGTAAACTCCAGAATTTCTCTTCTCTTGAAAAACTCGTAACCAAACAATCTCTGTGAGCTTTAAAAAAATCTTATCTTTAATTTTTGATAATTCTAAAGTTTCAATGAAAATATTACTTCTACAATTGAATTCAGTGTACTGTGCTCTCTATTTGCAAAAATGTTCAAGGGAAAAAATAACGTTGTTGCAAAATAAGGTCATGGTTCAAATCCAAAATCTTCAGCGGTTTGGGCCTGTGCTTTACCAACCGAGTGACAAATCTACAGCTGGATGGCACTTAAAATGTATTTGCAATGTTCAATTAATTCTGAATCCCCAGAAACTTCTCTCAAAAAATCACAAAAAGTACTAGGGTTTTGAAAAAAATTGTAATTACCATCAAATGAGCTGACTTGTGACAAAATATGTTTTGCCTTAGTTCGTAATATTGGGATATTTAATGTTTTATGATAATAATATAATTCGTTTTTCTTACTTTTAGTGAGAATTAAATTGTGTGGGTCAAAAATAATTCTGTCCGATGTAACCCCCCATATATTGGGGTGGCTTTGGAAAAATCTAATATGTAATGACTATGGGGGTGGATTTTGATGACCTAAAACATTGCCTAAAATGATCTTAAAATGATTGTAAAATGCCCTAAACACAAAGAAAAATTACATAAACATTTGATAAAAACCACTTCATATGAACAACTCTCGCTGTTGGGTACGTTACTGATGTAATTGATGATTCTTCCTTTTGTCCATGTGAAGTCAGCTCGCAAACTTAGTTCTTTAAAACAACATCTCTGCCTTCAAAATCGGTATACTGACAATAGCACCGATAACCGTCACAGAAACCTTAGATTACATGATAATCACAATGATTGACATAACAATATATGAGTGAAGAAATCAAATAAGCTACTCAGGAATTCAGTGGTGAACATTTGTTGCACCTCGTAAATATTGTTTGAAGTGAGTACCATTGAAATGATATTAAAACCGATTAAATCAGTGAAAAACACAGTACAAATGATGTAAAAAGGTAAAAAATTAACATAAAAAATTAAAGGTAACTTATTAGTTAAAATCAACAAATATTGCAAGAAAAATGACATAAAAATGGGTCATTTTGTTTTGTCATAATATAAAATAAATTTCTATACTGAACAGCATTATTCTAAATTGAAAAGAAAAAAAAATGACATTTCCTTAAAATCTGCCCCTAGTAATGACTAAATGATTGTATTTCAACCTATGTAGTTATTTTAGAATAATATGGATGTTTTTAAAAAAAATTTAGACTGAAGTAATAAAAATTTAGATCAAAAGAAAAAAACATCAATTATCAAAATATTGCATTTCAAACAAATGTATGCTTAAAAACATCCCTATGAAATATAAATTTCCTATATCCTTCTTTTGGAGTAACAACTTTGAAATCTAGTCTTTTAAAATTGTATGTTCATTGAGAACAATTGAAAAAAATATTTTTTTACTGTAGTTGTGTAACTTAATATTCTCATTCTTTCTGCCAACATTTGCTGCTGTTCGTACAAACTGTCAGATACAAGTGTTATTTCTTATATTCATAGTTGGTGATTAAAAATGTTTCTTCCTCCAACTTCAAACTTTCTGAATCTTCTTGGTCTCTACTACTTACTTACTTTGCCGGTGCTTGTGCTGTAGCCAGAAGTGCTTGTGTCGGACCAGGACTCACATTTATTTTGTGAAAAATAGTTTGCCAAGATGGTGGTCTCTGCAGGAATTTATGAGTTTGAGTTCTGAGTTTCTTTCTTCTTTTTTAGGAATTGGCATTTCATATCTGTATATCTATATTTCCTCAAAGCTTGAACTCCAATTATCTTAAGTAACATCAGGCGATTCCTCTGAATCTGGGAATTTTTTGAAACATGGTCAGGATTGAAAGGAATGAGTCCAATTGATCAAAAACCACTGATAATGTTTTGTAGTTTGTTTGCCTTAATTTTTTCCTAAGTTTTGTTTTAGTAAGGAAGAGAAACCATCCATCGATATGGCCCCTCTTGTGGATTTTTTCCAATGACACGAGACATTATGCCATGCACTCTACAAAGGTTTATAGAAGCTGATATCCAAGGGGTGGAGCAAATGTTTGCTATTAGGAGCATTAGCTTTTAATAGCATGAAGCTGATGTTAAGCTTTTCACAGAGTTGTACCACTCGCAGTAAAATGTGACTGCTAAGGTTGTCTCCAATGATTACTTTCTGACCATCTATTTTCTTTAAAAGCTATTGTGTCGAACCAGTCTTCAAATACAAGTTTGCTAAACCACCCACTCTTGTTTGTAATTTGCATCAGAAGACCCTCCTCCTTGCCATGTGGTCCTCGTATGTTCTATCCTCTGATTTAAACATAGTAGCACCTCAACGTCACACGCTGGATGAAGAGAGGGTGTTGTCGTCAAGTCCGGAGATCCAATACCAAAAATTTAAGTTGTAACAAAGCTCCTGATTATATGACAGTGTCCCTATCTCTGTCCAGTGACCTTGAAGTATAAAATATGCTTAAATTGGAGCATACTTGTACAGAACATATGGTGGTAAAAGTTCTCCACTACCTGAGGCAACCTTACTAAGACACTTGTTATTGTTAAGTCTTATGATGCAGTCAGCATGTTTTACACCTCTTTTAACAATTAAGTTTTGCCTTTGAAATTGTTCCCTTGATTGTCATTGAAATTCTTTTCATACAAATTCAAAATATTATACAGAGGAACATTAAGGCAAACACTATCTGTGAGTTCCTTCTTAGAAATGATGGAGCCCACTCCAGACCAGACAGATATTTACAAGCCGTTTCCTTCTCTTGCCAGATCTATCAAGAAACATTTTACTATGTATAAAATATCCGCAGATATCCCTTTTGAGCAGCTTTGATAATCTCATCTATTAGAAATTTTTCCTCTTCATTACTCATGACAGGCTCTCCACCCATTACCTTTGGATGACTGTTCTTCACCTCGTCTTGTAGGGTTGATTTCAGAATTCCTTATCTTTCAGAAGTTTTCCTATTTGACACCAGTCTTAATATCTTTCACGGCCCTACCTATGTTTTTGGATTCATAGTTTTGCGTAACTGGCACTCCAAAATGTTTCTCACCAGATCTGAAATCACACCACACTATGTTGAATTTATACAAAAATGTCTCTAGATTAAACAGCTTCAAAGTAGTCAAGTTATCATCATATGGTCATGGTTGAAGATAATTAAGAAACAAGAGGCGATGTGTTACATCAATAAATAAAAGATATTTGAACAGTGATGAACTATGAAAAGTTTCCACAAATTAAAAATGACACACAATGTACTTACATTGTTGAACAGTACTACAAGCCTAAACAAATGTACTAAATTAATTAAATTGTCTTGTGCATAAATATAGTTCTTTGGGCTTCCAAATATAACTACCTTTGAAAATGAAGATTATATAAAGGTTTTGGTTACATATATAGATACTGATGAAATCACTTGATGTGTCCAATGTCAACCCGCTTGACGGTACATGAAATGATTTAAAGGTCTAATTTCAAGAAATTTAATTTATTAAGAAAAAATTTTGCTTGAATACAAGTTCAAGAAAAAATTGAACCACTGCAAATTTCCAAATTCCAGAGATTTTCATGAAAGAAAAGAAATTCCAGAAATTTCCCTACATCCCAGACATTTTATAGGATATGAAGATTTTTATTGGAGCTGTTTCCAAGAAAATCCACCTGGGGAAAAAAAAAATGTATGGTTTAGGCACTAGTGTTGTCCTCAGATGGAATCAAACATAGACGGATGGATGGATATGCTAAAATTTTTTCAAATATCACTTTTTATTTTAGGAAACCTCAAAATGTGTATTTCCATAAAAATCTCAACATTGATTTTTTAAATTCAGTACTTACTATTATTCTCATGTGACAAAATTAAATTGAAGAGCTTGTGCACATTTCTATGTAGAAGAAAGCAGTACGTTTGCACAACAAAAGCAGTACTCTTTGTCCGAAGCACCAATACAGAACAAATCAAAATAGCAAATACATATTTTTTTCTTTCATAGAAACAAAACCTAGAGATACATTTTTTCCAGTGTAGGAAATTATTAACATTTTGGAAATTATATCCTGGGTGGAAAGATAATATTTATGTGCAAAATTGAGATATATCCATGATTATTTATCATTAAAAATATTACTAAACTATTTATTAGTTCATTAGGTATAATGTTATTAATTAGTTCATTAGGTTAGGTATATGTTAGGTATAATGTTAATTAGGTATATTATTACTTTAGTTACACTGTTTATTTGTTAAATTAATTAAAATTTGTCAGCTAATGTTGTTAGAATAATTTTGTGCCCTACATTCATGCATTAACAATTTTTCTCCTAGGCCATTTGTTGCAATAATTGGTGGAGACAAATTTAGCACCAAATTAAAAATCTTAAATAATTTGTTGAATGTAGTTGATGAGATAATAGTAGCTGGAGGTCTACCTTTTACATTTCTTAAGGAAAGCAGAAATATGAAAGTAAGTGGGAAATCAATTTTCTAAATGGCTTACCTCTGTAATATTACTTTGTTAAATGGTAAAACAAATGCCAACTTTTGTTTGCAGATTGGAGATTCTTTGTACTCTCAACTAAATTCTAACTATGTCAGGAAATTAATGAGAAGAGCAGAGAACAATGAAGTCTCTTTGCATTTACCTAATGACTTTATAACTGGGAATTGCTATGATAACTGCACTCCTCTAAAGCTTTGTTTGGTTGATGATGGAATACCAGAAGGAAATATGGGTTTAGACATTGCCCCAAAGTCGATGTATCATTTTACTCACATCATATCAGGAGCAAAAACCATATTGTGGCATGGGTATGGAGTTCTTGAATATTTTACCTTGTGTATTGGACCTTTATCAGCACATTCATTTTAAGACAATTTTGTTTGATTTAGTTTGTTGGTACTTTTTCCTCATTACTCAAAAATTAAGCTTAGTTAAATTGTGTGTGTGCTCCTCCTTTTGTATACTTTTTCTAAAATTTTTATCACTTTTTATCAGTTCACCAACAATCTTACATTTAATCTTATATATAAATTTATAAATGTATAATAATTCTTTAAAAACTAAGGTAGAAACATTCAGAATACAGACATTTGAAATTTGATGATTTTGGGATTTGATCCAATGGAACATTAAGTTTGCTGATGCAGGCAATGTGAACAGTAAACATTTGGGGGTTATCTATGAGACACCTTTGACTGACCCTATTTTATTTACTCAGAATGCTAGTCACGCTCAGAGATCACATGATATATGAGATCAATGTTTATTTTGGCAAATTATGTTGTGTATATTTACAACTAGTCTATATACATATCTTCAACATCATTGATAAAATTGTTGCAAAAATGATTATACCAATAACAGCTTATTCTCCAGGGTACTCTTCAGATCGTATTAAAGTGCTTAAAGAAACATCATTAGCTCATAGATAATGCAAAAACCTTGTAGACGATCATATTACTTTAAATTCTCTGAACTTAGAAAATTATGAAAAATCAAGTCTAATGATGATTACCAAAAATTTATTGATAAAACAAAATTCAGTAAACTATGGTATGAAATCTTTTAAGAAATACACAAATTATGTAAGAGGTACCAAAGATCTTCTTAAATAACTGTTTGACATCACCCAGATCAACTGACACCATTTTGGAGAAAATCCTTTGAGATGTTTAAGCACTAATGTTGTTCACAGACAAACAATAAATGGTTTGAGAAGAATCAGTTTTTTGTATCAGGGACCAATAAAATGTGTTTCTTTGTCAAAATATTGGCATGTTTTCCTGCAGTATTACCTAACTTTCTGTAGCTTTCTTCCAATTCTCATCTCAACAGGATCAGTAGTGAGCACCCAGGGTTTGATAAATTTTACAAGCAGTTGGTGATTGTCAAGGTGTCTGTTTGATGTTCACAGCAAAATACATATCAGGCCACTGATGGCACACACCAGGCAACGAGGCACCATTCATAAGTTACAAATTCACTTCCCCTTTTCAAATATCACATCATTCCTATAATAAAATCAAACATTAATACAAATAGAGCCTGTGATTTTGTTTCTATAAACTTGTTTATGTTTGAAAAATTACTAAAACGTAAAATTACAGCAATTTTGAAAATGCATGTATATTTTAGTCCAGTAGGTTTTATTGAACAAGAAGCATTTGGAGATGGAACTGTTTGTATAATGCAAGCTATAATTACTGCTACTGAGAATGGAGCAACTAGTTTAGTTGTCGGTGAAGAAACCATCTCTTTCTGCAGGAAATGGGGCACTCTAAACAAATTCAGCCATGTCAGCTCTGGCAGAGCTGGAGTTTACCTTCTTCTTGGTATGTGATTTTTTTCCCCCTGTTGTAGAACCCAAATTAGTTGATGAATAAATCTAGGTGTGCACGAAGGGGGGCCTTGGTTCCCCTGAAAATTTTGAATGGGACCTCATAGCCTTACATAATAAATCATTTTATTTCCATAAAAATATTCAATCCCTGATTTAATCTCCTTTTTCAACCTGACAATTTGGGGAACTGTTATGTGATACTTGGGGAAGAGGCTCTCCAAGGCATCTAGCAAATCTGTGTATGGATCAACATAAAATAAAATATGTTTATCACTTGTATCATTAAAGTTATAATTTCATTGACCTTAAATGTTTTATTATTCACTAGTCAAATATGACACACATAAATAACAGTGTTTAGTAGAAAAGGGAACCCAGAAATGTAGTTCCTTGCCGTCCCTACCCTCTCTTGTATTTGGCTATGCATGCCTATGCTTAGAATGTTCAAAATTGCATTTTAGCTAAGAGCATCATTTCATCAACTTAAAGTGTATAATATATGATTTATGTATTAAAGAAAAATTATTATGAACAATTGAAAAATAAAACACTGATGATCCATGTATCTCAATTTTTTCTCCAGGAAAGAGTCTCCCAGCCGTAAGAGCATTGAGTGCAAAATCCAGAACTTACTAGAGGTGAAGAAAACACGGTAATATGAAATGGCTTTACTTCTATACATAAGAATTTATGATTCCCACACAAGCGCTCTGAAGTACATGAACACTACATTGTTAAACTGTTAATAATACATTGCCTATTGATAAGAGTTAAGACAGATTAATAATAATATTTATTGAGTCACATACAATTACAATCGTGTATGACGAATCAATATGATGTCTTGGTTGGAGAGAGCAAAGTTACGTTACTGTTCAGGAGCAAAACAAAGGGCCATCTCAGCATTTGCTCAAAGGACCAGGGAAACTGAACAAACCTGATCGAGATGGGGTCGTTGGCCTAGGGATTATACTACAATACTTGCTACAGATAGATTAGGATATTATACAGTAGATAATTATTCTTAGTAGCAGATAATTTGACATTTCAAGATATTATTCTCATTTTAATGCTACTACTTATAATATTTATAATAATAATAATAATAATAATAACAATAACAATAACAATAACAATAACAATAACAATAACAATAACAATAACAATAACAATAACAATAATAATAATAATAATAATAATAATAATAATAATAATAAAAAAATACTTATCAATTCCGTAAGCAACTACATAAAAGTTAACAATATTAGTTCATTCTATATTTAAAACTTGAAATGATAAGGAGGAGGCAAGTTTTGACCAGTTTTTTCTTCTTTCAATTTGTACACGTAGTCCTACTGCAGCACCTAACGTGTCTAGCGAATCTAGAGAGAAACAGATTGTTTTTTGTTTTTGTCAGGCATTCTCCTTCTATGTCACAGGCTGTGATATGCCAGTTCTTTTTTCTTTGCTACAGCTCAAAACAGTTAACATGAAACAGAAAGTCAAATGGGATAAGAAATTCTTATTTATGTATAATTTTTAAGGGAAATATTGTTGTGATTTGATTATTCCTTTACACTGTAGAACATGTTGTTAAGCAGGAAAGCTTTCAATTTACTTTTAAATGTATGAATTGTGTTTATGTCTTTAATATCATTGCCTAGTTTGTTGCAAAGTGTAATGCCCTCTATTAGGGTACTTTTTTGATAAAGTGTAGTTTCAGAGTGGGGAACATGTAGGTTATCCTTTTGACAAGTGTTGTAGTTGTGTACATTGGAATTTAAAGTAAAAGTGTCTTTGTTTTCCATCAAAATTTTGTTTGTGGAGACCACTATTTCAAATATATACATGCATGTTAGAGGAAGAATCCTTAGTTTATTGAATAAGGGTTTGAAAGGCTCCAGCTTATGAGTGCTGGTCATTGTTCGTAATATTATTTTTTGGATAATAAATGTGCAAGTGCTTTCAGGGGCATTTCCCCAGGATATTATTCCATATTTTTGGAGTGAGTACACATTTGCAAAATACATTGTTCGAAGTGTCTCAATGTTGGAGCTTGACCTGAGGGTGTATAAGGCATAGCAAGATTTGATGATCTTCTTGTCAAGATTTGATATGTGAGCAGTACTTTCATGGTGTATCATTACAGGGTTATTGTTTATGAGCAAATGCTATGCGAGTTTTTCTTTAGATCGAGGATTCATGAAATTTAGAGAGACTGTCTTGCTGGTGCTTATGATGAGTTTGTTGCCTTGAAACCATTTTACTAGTGCTTGCGAAGTTTTGTTTCTTTTTCTAATGATTGTTGTGTTTTTGCTTTGATGATTATGTTTGTGTCATCTGCAAACAAAATTATTATGTAATTACTTAAAGCCAAAGGCATGACATTTATGAATATAACAAATAATATTGGCCCAAGGATAATGTATTTTATTACTTAAATTTGCACATTTATTTCTAACATCTTTGTCTACAGAGATGATATTAAAGAGAAAAGAGAATTATAAACTGATTTTGCTAATTTGTGAACTAATTCCAGTTTTGGAGAGTCACTGAAATACTAGTCAAAACACAATAAGAAAATGAAGTTCCACTTTATAACAGGATCTATATTTTTCACTATTCCCCTCTACATAATTTCCCTAAATTAATATTTCTTTCAATATAATCTGAGGGGTACATGGGAAAATCATTTTAAGTCCATCACATGCCTGTTTTAGATTCTAGTGCTATCTTTTAGTAGAAAGTGTTAAGTGTCAACTTGTAATCGTTGTTTAGGGAAAGTGAACAGTGTCTATTTTAAGTCTGAAGACTTTGTACCCTTTGGAAGGACAGTCAGTCACCTGTAAAAATGAACAGAGTACATTTTGTTTATATCTTCATACCATTTCAATGAGAGAAATAGCTTTTAGCAATTCAACTTTGTATTATTGTTTTACTCAGTCTCAATTTTGTCTTCAATTTCAGGAAAGAAGCTCCCACGTTTAAAGACATGTGGAAAATTGAGTGGAAGATTCAGAACTTACTAGGGGTGAAGATAATGTCGTGATGCAAAATGATTTTACAAAACAGAAGACTTTATGATTTCCAAACAAGCACTCTGAAATATTTGAACACTAAATTGTTAAACTTTTAATAATACAATGCCTATTGACAAAATTTAAAAAAGATTAATAAATTTTATACCTACAAGTTGCACATTTATTTCTAACATCTTTTACAACAGAGATAATATTAAAGAAAATGATAAACTGATGTTACCAATCTGTATACCAATTCCTGTTTGCGAGAGTGATTCGATATTCAAGTGTACAACACTGTTAGTTATGCAGTACATTGGTACCAAGAGAGAATAAAATTTTAAAATAGACAGCAAAGACTCACAAAAAGGCACAACACAAAATAGGAACAGGTTGTAAGAAAATAAAAGTTAATGAGCATATTGCGGATGTATCAAAATTTGCATAACACCTACAATTCATAGATCATGAAATGCTTCAAAAGACACAAACTATCATGATGATTCCTAATTCACGTAGTTTTAATTGAATACTTGGGGTTTCCAGGCATGCCTACTGCTGTAGTCATTAGTCTGTAAATGAAGTGCATGTAATATCCTGGGAGGTAGCAGGGTTTCTTCCCCAATAGATCCTGCTCAGAAGCTGATCTCAATATTACAAATTACTATTATACTTACCTTTTTGGATTATGCTGCTCTCTACTTTCTTTTGTGTTCATTTAATAATTCATATGTATTGTAACATCTTATTCATTTAGATTTCCTGAATTGCAGTTTTAGACACCATACACCTTTTATACCTTTATCTTGTTTTAGATCTGTCTGTATTTTCAACAATCCTTTTCTTATTTCTCTCTTCAGGCAACATATTTCACATGACTCCATGATTAAATCTACAGTATGGAGACAAAAATTAAACATCAATTTGCAGGATCCCCCCCCCCCCTCTATACACCACACCTAGCAAGGCATTGCTCCAACCAGGACCAGTTCTAAGCTCCTGTGTTTTTTGACATGTTTGGAAGTATAGTGCACAAGTGTGTGTCTGTTCATAATGGGAGGAGAGCAGATGATAATGCTGGCCAGCTAAAAAGATCAGCTAACATGACAAATTTTGAAAAATATCACTATCGGATGAGAAGATATTTGTATTTGATTTAGGGCAAAAGCTGCTGCCAACATTCACACAATTATTCTCTGTATACTACATTAACGTAGTAGTGATTTTTTAAATTTCAATTTTGCAACAAAATATTGACTACTCCTGTAGATTCCGCCAACATTAAAAGCCATTCATGTGGAGTGTGCTGGGCTAATTTGCTATTTTTGCTATTAAGAATAAAGAAACAATGGAAGTTATGTGTTGGTGATTTTCCACAATGTTTTTTTGTAAATCTGCATTTAGTTGTTTCATTCAATTTAGTAATTTAATGCTAGGCTTTTTGATTTTGATTTATTATCTTCCAATTCTTTTCATCAGTAATCATAGTGAAGTTAGTTGTAATAATTTTTGTAGTAAAAGTTAATTTTATTATATTCATTATTAATTTTTCTGAATACAATTTATTAATAATTAGAAAATATTGGATATCCCAATGACAACTGGGCCTATTCTAAGTATTTCATAGTTAAGGATAATGCGCTTCCAGTTTCTTTGAAAAGTGGATTATAAATTTATTTTGTGGATTGTGGAAATAGTAGTCCATGTCACACACACTTGTTTGATAATAGGAGTGGCAAAAATATTACAGGTAAGATTGATGTTTATTTAAATTTCTAAATCTTATCTTTTAAAACTGATAAGTGTAATTTTCTTAATTAAAATAGTGATGAGTGTAGTTGTATATTATCTTTAACTATTAATTATCATTAGTCGTGTATTAATAGTAATAAATCCAATTTTTTTTCCAAGTTATTGTATGTTTTCAGGCGGTTGTGATGTCTGTTCCAACAATTATCAACAAACACAAAATACAAGCAGCTCTGACTGTATCCAAAATTAATTGCAACAGACAATATTCTTGTTGGAATTATGGACAGCTCGTACCCCAGGCTGTCGACACACAGATCTTTCCCTGATTACAGCCGGATTGAATTACAACTTGTTATGCACAACACACTGTTAACACACACCAACGCACACCAAGCCACACATTTTCCTCAATGGTCACAAACAGTACTGCTCTAGTCAAAGAGAACACAAGGCCGTCAGTTGATTGCATGGCATATCAATAGGCACTTTCCTGATGGGATTGTATCGCCCTGTCGATTACTCCAACAATCCTCTGAATGGATGTAACAGTGAAATAAATTTTAACCATTGAAGAGAAAGTAAGAAATTAACCATTGTCTTACCTCGAATTTTTCACAATTCCTATAAGCACGGCAAGAGTGTGTTTTGTATTTGAATTGTTTAACAAGTGAATGAGAGGGTTAATTATGTAATTATTGTATGTTCAGGGAAAAGTTTATAGTAATGTAGTTACAGTAACGTAGTAGTAAATTCAATATTATTGTGCAACTGTATATTAATGTGCCATTTATATTATATTCCTGTTTCATTAAATATCTTTAAAAAAAGTTCTATTTATTATCATTAATTTCCCCATCTTACATATTACACCCTGCTGAAATGGAGAAGAAATGGGTACACATGGGAAGACTGTCTCTGGTAACAGATAAGTTAATGAAGACTTAATTATATTAATGATAATTTTCCTATATTGAAACAATTCATTAGTTAACTTAAAAATTACCATATATATATCAATTTAATTAATTTAAATGATTGAGGCAATTATATTCTATATAAATCATTAACAGTTGAAATCGTAAAGAAATTGATAACTATTAAAGAACAACGGTTTCCCCGAGAGGGTACTTATTGTTAGAAATTTTATTTGATGAAATTTTTATAATTAGAAACTATTAATGCTACCATCTCAAAAGCATTCTTAACACACAAATCTGACAACACTTTTGTTATATTTTTCATTTGCACTCGACATGTTTTAACATCTCTTTTGCTTACACTTATTGATAATAGTAACAGTTAATTAACTGCATTGTTCACCGAGTTAATATTCATTTATAGATAATTTTTTCTTAAATTCTAATGAAAACCAAGACATTATTGTATGGTGATTAGTCTCTCAACCACATGAAGAGAAACGCATGAGAAAGAAAGAGAGAGAGAGAGAGA